TCCTTTTTGCTTTATGTCTTCATAATTTACTTCTTGAGAATGAACTTACTGGGCCAATGTTCTCTGTAAAATATTAAACCATTGGATTCTACTTGTCCTTCCTCTGGATCCTTTTAAACCTGTTCACCTAAAATATATGGTGCATTACGGATGGTAATTGACTTTTCCTTTCCTTTAATATGAACTTTATGGTAGAGTGGTCACTTGCCCCAAAAGTCCTGGCATTTCTTCCTCAGCAACTGGTTCCTCCTTGTTGGTCAGAACACAATCCAGAATAGCAGTTCCCTTTGCTGCTTCCTCTAACCTCTTAACTTTTAAAGAATGAAATTTCCATTTAGGCAAGTTGCAGATTTGTCTGATGTTCTGCTTTTGGCAAGAGTAGAGTTCCAGCAGATGTTCCAATAGTAGTGGCATGAATCCTCCCCTTCCCTATAATACCATGCTCATTTAATTCCCTCTTTCTGGATATTACATCTAGAGGGTCATTGTTTCTGTTTCTACCTCCATTGAATCTTACCCATATATATTTTTTGGGGGGGCTAGGCAATGGGGTTAAATGACTTGTCCAGGGTTACACAGCTACTAAGTGTCAAATGTCTGAGGCTGGATTTGAACTCAGGTCCTCCTGACTCCAGGACTAGTGCTCTATCCACTGGGCCACCTAGCTGCCCCCACACTTATATGTTCTTTACCATATTTCTCTCCTCCTGTTTAGCCTTTCCCTGAATGAGTATATAGTACAATACTATTGTACACACATCATCTTCTCCTTTTGAGTAAGGTATACTCTTCCAAAGCAAAATTGCAATAATAAGTTCCATACCATAGTCTCAGAAATACTTATGAGGTCAAATTGACATCCTAGTGTTAGGATCTCTAGTTGCCCCTTATTATTACCGACGCTATTTGTGGGTAGATGTGTGAGACCTTAGCGCTGGCTTTTTTCTTAGAAGTTGCCTTTTGTGAATTACTGGTTCTTTCTTCCATTGTTCTACTCCTGTGCTATCTATGGTACTAAGCTTATCAGATCATTGTGGACAATTTTAAGGCCTTCTAATTACATTGGCAATATTCTAGGCAAATATATATTTGCGTTAATGACATTAGTTAAATACTTGTTAATATGCTGTATCTCTGTTAAGAGCCTATCATTCCTATATTTTAAGCTGTTATCCAGAAATCCAAATTCCACTCTTGGAAACCATCTGAAACTAGCTGTTCACTTTTGACATTGGCTTTTTTCTTCTGGAATTCTATAAGTGGCCAATAGAGATGAAAATACCACGTGTGCTACTAAAGTCTAAGTTGTACTTCATGTATACATAGCTGCTAGGAGATACTGGCAGAGACAAAAATAGCATGCTTTCTACGAGTCCTATTCAATTTCTCCTTGCCCTCCATATGTACTTATATGATGAGAGTTCCACAGGCCTTTTTGGTATCCCTCCTGCCTAAACCTTTTGGCTGATCACTGTGGTAAATTACTTGTAGTAAGATGGGAGACTCAAATCTTTTCTATTGAGATCAACCCTTCTTGTTTGATCTCATTCTCCAGATACTTTACTTTCCTATATGCTAAATTATCTGGCCTCATTTGGGGAGTGGGGCAAGGTTTTATTTAGCACACAGAAAGAGGCAAGACGCAAGCACAAAGGACATGAAATGAATTTCAGTTATTTTGTGAAGTCACCACACCTCATTTCATCTTATTACTGTTGTCCACAGGGGTGGGGAACCTGGGGCCTTGAGGCCACATGTGGCCCTCTAGATCCTCAAGTGCAGCCCTTTGACTGAATCCAAACTTCACAGAATAAATCCCCTTAATAAAAGGATTTAATAAAAGCAATTAATCATCAGATGAGGCCACATGTGGCCCTCCAGGTCCTCAAGTGCAGCCCTTTGACTAAATCCAAACTTCACAGAACAAATCCGTGTGTGTGTGTGTGTGTGTGTGTGTTTTTCTGTCTGTCTGTCTGTAGGGAGGGGATAAACCTCACCCAGAGGAATTCCTCATCTGATAATTATTGCTAGAGCCATGAGCTCTGTAGACGAGGTCCATAAAAGAGATTTTTGGGTACAGTTGGTAACCTACACCAGACAAAGGAAGTACAACCATATGCTACATGTAGTAGATTCCAGGAATGGAACCCAGAAGTAAGGACTGCCCTGTAGCTGGAGTTGGGGGAGGGAAGAACAAGGGGCAGAGTCAGAAAGTCTGATGAGGGAGAACTAGAGAATGAAAACAGGAATGAGAGCAAAGGCTTCAAGTTGCAGAAGAATCACAGCAGGAATAACTTTATTATAAAGTTGTGAAATCCCACTATAATATCATTCAGCCTTTCACTCATTTGATATATTGTCATATTTCCATCACCTTCTGTGACATAATTTTTCCTAATATGTTTTTATTAAATAATTAATCATGCTGAGTGAGGTATGACTATGTAGCCTGAATATGGCCCCCTCCTGGCTAATCACTCACTGCTTCTCCTTTCTTCATCCCAACCCCTCCATGCAGCCTGGAATAACTCCAGACATTGTGAACTTACTATGGTCTATGATTCCTACAGAGGGACAGGAAAGGGTGGTAGGTATCTGCCAGTGTTGTATTTCTTGTATATTGTCTGAGTTTTCTATTTGTGTTCAGTTTGAGGGCATTTTGAGGGAGGAAATAAGGAAACAAAATCATTTAACAGGGTTTTACTGTTGATTACCAGTCAAGCCATTCTTAAGAAGTAGATCATAGCTATTTATATTTTCCAGTAAATTAAGCTTAGTCTTGTATAGAAAGAAGTCTTTAATGTCTATGATTACGACTTTCCTTACAAGACTGCTACATCAGTTCAGGAAACATTTATTAAGCATATATTATGTGCATCAACATTGTGTTAGGTACTAGGAGTTACTACAAATATCAATAAATCATAGATTCATAGATTGAGTTAGGTATTCTTAATCTAAGGTCCATGAACCTGGTTAAAAAAATTTTTTATAGCTGTATATCAACATAATAGGTTTCAATCCTGTGTATTTTATGCATCTAAAAACATTATTTTGAGAAAGTGTCCATGTTTCACCAGACTGCCAAAGGAATCCATGACCAAAAAAAGGTTAAGAACACTTGAAGAACACAGAAGACCTTAAAGGTCTTCTAATCCAGCCTCCTTATTTGGCTATTGAAGAAACTGAGACCCAGATGGGTTGAGTATTGGGCGTTAAGTCATTTTTCAGTTGCGTCCGATTCTCTGTGACTCCATTTGGGGTCATTTCTTGGCAAAGATACTGGAGTGGTTTGCCATTTCCTTCTCCAGCTCATTCCTCAGATGAGGAAACTGAGGCAAACAGGGTTAAGTGACTTGCCCAGAGTCATACAGCTAGTAGGTATCTGAGGCTGTGAAGATGAGTCTTCCCAGCTCCAGTCCTGGCCCTCTATCCACTGCCACCTAGCTGCCCTAGACCTTGGGTTATAGAGGTAGTTAGTTTCTGAGCACGGATTTAGACCTAGATTCTCCGACTCCAAATCTGACCATATTTCCATTGCACCAGGTTGCCTCAGTATGGTAGTAAAAATAACCATAGTATTTGATCAGTGTTTTATTGCTGCTTAGTAAATATGCTCTATTTGCCATCATGGAACTTAAGAAGTTAGACTATACATACCAGTAATTATGATATAAAGTCAAACATGAATACATAAGAGATGTACAAACAGGTATTGGGTGGGAAAGGTGATGGGGGAAATTATCATGAAAGAAGTGATATCTGAGTACATCTTGAAAGATAAATAAGGTTTCAATCATAAGTATCTGCTAGGTGCCTAGCACTGTGCTGGCCATTGGATATATCATGGTTCCTCTCCAGTGCTTCCAAAGAAGCTATTTGGAACCAAATAAAGCAAGCAGCACTTAACAGATAGTATTTTCTGCTAAATATCTCTTGATTATTTAGAAGGTACATCCTTGCCCTAGAAACCTAGCCTTTAACCAGTAATGCTGTAATGTAATATGTAAATACTAACAGCGTTACTAGGTGTTGTATATAAAACATGGCTAAGCATTGTGTTTAATCTTAAAGACCAAAATGAGATCAAACAGACCATGAGGATGTAGAGATATACACTGAACATGGGAAACCCATGCTATTTGTTTAGATTTTTTTTCTTCTTATGTTTAGTTCTGTTTTTAAAAAAAAAAAAACGGATTGGGTAGTCTGGTCCATTATTGTCAAAGGAAGAACTACTTAGAAGTGGAGTCTGAAAACAGCTTTGAAAGAATACAAATGACTTTCACCTAGGAGGTGCTTAACAACTATTTTGATGAATGAACGAATGTTGAATACGGAGAGATTATCATAGTGATAAAATGAACGACAGGCTATCAATGTCTTCCGAGGTATATGGTATATAGTATATGGTATGTGGTATATGGAAGGGATTCTGAGATCTCAGAGATTCAGCGGTGGAAGCACAATCTGTGCTAAGTCTTTCCAGGATAGAAAGAGAACCGGATGGATTATACAGTAGTGTTCCTTGAAAAACACAAGCCAGATGCCACCTCTTACCCGTAGCTTTTTCTTGACCCTTCTTCTCCTCCTCCAACCCCACTCATTAGCATTTACTTTATCTTGAAATTTCATGGTATTACTTACATGCTTTATATTTACTTTTTTGTGTACATGTTGGAAACTTGAGTGAGTGTGTGTGTGTGTGTGTGTGTACATTAATATAATGATGGTTAGGTTCCATAAAAACCAGTGATTCCCTCCACCTCCAGGATGAAATATAAAATTCTCTGGCGTTCAGAGACTTTACTAACCTGACCTGCTCCCACTCCCACCCCCCAACATTCCAGTCTACACATTACTCATCCCCACATACTCTGTGATCCAGGAACACTGTTCTCCTTGTTGTTCCTTAAACAAAACACTCCACGTACTCAACATTTTCACTGGCTGCCCCCATGCTGTCCCTCTTCATCTGGTTTTCTTTGCCTCCTTCAAAGCCCAGCTGAAATCCAGTCTTCTACCAGGAAGCCTGCCCTGATCCCCCCTGATGCTGTTGGTTTCCCTTGGTAAGTTATCTCCAATTTATCCTGTATACATCTTCTCCATACCTCGTTGTTTGCATGTTTTCTCTCACATTGTATGGGACTGTAAACTCCCCAAGCAGGGATTGCCTTTTGCCTTTCTTTGCATCCCCATCACTTTGCACAGTGCCTGGCACTGTATTATAGTACAGCATAGGCTCAATAGGCTTTTGTGGACTTGTCTCTGTGGGAAACTTTAGTTTCAAGTTATAAACAACTGATTCATAAGCAAGCACTCAGCACACACCCTAGTTAAGAGTTGGGAACTGATTTGGATTGGGTTTGCTTAAAGCGGGACACACCTGCATTATTGTGGGGATCAGTGTAAGCAGGAGAAAATGTGAAAGGTGGGTCTACATGGCAAAAGAGTGGAAGAAACCATCTTGCATATAAGAACAAGAAATTGAATAGTGGTGATGATAGTAGAGAAAAATCGGAGATGAAGATTTGAATGAGTGGTAAGTGGAGAGGTTTAAAAGGGAGTTCATTAAGGCAGAAGGAATTTATAGGGAACTAGCTAAAAAGAAATCTAGGAGTTACTGAAACCTATATTTTATAATACATATTATACTACATATTAAAGTGTATGTAGCAGGGGACTATGAATGGTACATCAGAAAAGATAGAAAAATAATGGAAAGATAGTGAAACTGGGAGATACAAAACCTACCCCTAAATTTAGTGGATTCTAGTTTCCCCTTTGCTGCCTCATGATGTCTCTTCTGTAAGTCATTTCACTTCTCTGTGACTCAGTTTCTTCTTCTCTAAAATGGGAATGAGAATGCCCTCCCTCGAAGTATTCATTATGAGGACGAAACAGATTTGAGATCCCTTTGAAAATTGTAAAGCACTGTAAAAGTTGTCATTTTCTTGTTGTTACCCACAGGATGGGCTCCTCTAGAGGGAGGAGCCAGTCACTTTAGAGAGAAGTAGAGGTGAGATAATTTCAGAAGGTAGCCAGAGGAGGTAACGGCGAGGCAGAAAGAGATGACTAACTGGATAGAAGGAGGGAAGAAAGGTGAAAGCCTTCTCATCCTGCCCTTTTGAGGCAGAGATGTCAAGTCATTTACCATGACAACCTCAAATAGGTAAGAAATTAAGTCTTAAAGAAGCTCAATTGCTCCAAGTCAGAGAGGGCAGAAACGAAACTAAGGCTTCTCTACTTGTGTTTTACCTTTGTTCTACTTACTGAGATAAAGTAAAGTAAGGAAACTGGAAATAAAAGACAAATTCTACAGTTAAGTGAAGAGACAGGGTGACTAGGTAGTGCCTGGATTCAGGAAGACCTGAGTTCAAATACAGGTTCAGGCAGTGACTAGCTAGTTGTGTGACTGGGCAAGTCACTTAACCCTGTTTGCCTCAGTTTCCTCATCTGTAAAATGAGTTGGAGAAGGATATGACAGATCACTCCGGTGTCTTTGCCATGAAAACCCCAAATGGGTCACAAAGAGTCTGAAAAGACTGAAAAAATGACTGAACAACAAAAAAGATTTTTGAAAATTGTATGCATGGTATCACAAAATACTAAAGATTCAGTATTTTCTTTAGGGTCCGGGTAGGGTACTAGAGAAACATTTCTCATTTTTCTAGTTTGCCTGTGTATATATTTGTTCATGCTTAAGCAGAGGGGAGTGAGGCAGGTTTGCATTCAATTTCTTTCCAAGAGGACCTGAACCATCTTACCACCTTTGAATGGATAGATTGAATAAATTTCTTACTCTTCTCCCTTTGAAATGCCACACCTTCCCCCTCCTACTACCCCAGAGAGCCACGTCTATCTTGCCCATATAAGTACTTGATAATATTTAATAATTTCCAGGTGTCGTTTCTCCAAAGTCATGCCGAATTTCCTTGGAGCATCCTTGCCTCTATCTATCTCTTCAATAACTATGGTAGAGCCTCTAGGTACCTGACATGGTGGAGCCTCGAGTGCTCCAGTCCTTTTCAGTTATTCTCCATTTGTAATTGTTAACTTGAATGGAATGCAACACTTCTGGTTTAGAGAAGTTGGCTTTGAGCTGTGGCTAACTTGACGGATACTGAAAAGGGCAACGACTTACTTACTGTTCCTTACCGAGGATGACAGTTTATCAGAAGGTGGGTTGTTGGTTTTAGGGCTTTGGTGGATTTTTTTTTTCCCCTCCGGTTTTCTTTTCCATAATTTAGGCTTAATTCTTCCTCATAAATGTCCATATCAAAAGCACAGCCATACATCTGCAGCTGTCTGGTGTTGCCTGTGTGTACAGATTTATTTGTAAACACTGTGCTTTATTAACTCTTCCCTTTCACAATTTTTTTTTTCCAGTTAGGCTTGCCCAGGCTTGCTTGGGGATTAAAGTAATGAGAACTTTATACTCATCTTTTTCATTAAAAATTGAACATTTCTACTGTCATGATGTATTTTTGTTGGCTTTTTTTCCTTATTTGAGTTCTTTTAAGGGGGAAGTGTGGAAATAGGACCCTCTTCCTTCATTTACATTACTGTACATCACATGGATATCTTTGTGACCATTATGTTGTGTTCTCTCAATGGTGTTTGCACTGAGGGTGGGACACAAGGTTGTTTAGTGCCTCGTAAAACATTTACCAAAAGCAGTGAGCCATGGTTTTGAAGGGCATTCCGTTGCCAGAGTGTAGGAGGAGAGTGCAAGACAGGGAAAGCAGAACAGCAGGTATTTAGCAGGTACTGACTTTTATTTTAATATTTTTCACATTTATAGTTTGAGATTGGGTGTGACTTTTGTTCATTTTGGGGTCTGTTGAAGGGACAAGGGTTGGGGGAAATGATATTTTTGTCTGCAAGCTGTATTTTCCAAAAGACTTATTTGTAATGATCAGCTTTAATTGATTTCAGTTTTGCTGGAAAAAAGCAACATGGAGGCTTATGGTTGAGACTTGTGGAGATTTGTGCTTGAGTTCTTACAGTAATTTGAGCTAGGCTTTTACTTTAATGAAGAATTTAGGACAAACTGCAGAGGTTCTAGCTGGTTCTGGTAAGATAGTGATTTGTGTCTGGGCTCTGATTAGTGATCTGTTCTATTAAAAGTTTTCACTGAATAGTAAATCTGAAAATGTCTTTTTTAGTGCCTTTAGGAACTTTTTTTCATTTTGCAAAATTCAAATAAGATGGTTGCAATGCTTAGGCTAAAAGACTTTGTTCAGTCTGCCTTATCTGTATTTAAGGTACATAGGGTAGGAATGACTTTAAAGATATCAGACTTAGTTTGTGATTGCAGAAACCAGTACAACAAACACTCCAATGTAACTGGAATTTTAACATGCTGAAATTATTGAGAAATAATTGGACAAATTATAAAGAAAAGATATGAATTATTAATGTTAAACTTACACATATGGTAAGGTGTAGTGTGCCTTAGTCAAATGCACATATTTGGGGTTTGTTTGTTCATTTTGCTTTTGTTGGAATTAGAATACCTAAATCTCTAGTTATGTCATTTGTAAAATGTGGCTGATGAGGAAAGGACTTGAAGTATAGAATTCAGCTCCTTGCTAGGTCAGGTCAAAGTTCAAGGGAGTGCTTTTCAATATGATATGTAGGATTTGATTACTCATTGTAGCCACATGGTAGGTACATAGCACAGGCACACACAGATGTTAACTAAAGTTGAGCAATTGGATGACCATTTAAGTATCTGATTTGGATATAATTTGGCCAGATGACCTTGGCAGTGGCCAGAGTAAAGGGCTATCTCGAGGCAAGGCTAAAATGACTTCCCCAATGCTTCAAGTCCTATAACTTTAACATGGCTTTAAAAAAAAACTCCTTAAAGTGTTTTGGTGGGGGGATGGATCCTGGGCCTTTCCTTAGGAAAAGCTCTAATTACATGGGCAAACAGTGTTAATCTAATGACCTCCCTCCTCTTGCCAAGGGACATTTCATTTCACCAGTGAAATTTTTTTTTTCTTTTTTACTATTGCATCAGAAAATATGGATCATTTAGTGGCAAGATTGTGGGTCTCCAAGAATTATTTTATGCCCTGGCCATTAAAACTTGATGTAAATTGGTTTATCTATCTAGTTTCCATCCCTTAAAATAAGAGTTCTTAACTTTTTCTATGTCATGGATCTCTTTGGCAGTCTGATGAAACCTAGCCTAAAGCCCTTCTCAGAGTAATGTTTTTAAATGGATAAATTAAAATACATAGGATTACAGAGGAGCCAATTCTATTGATATGAAGCAATCAAAATTCTTTTTTTCAAGAAGTCTGTGATCCCTGGATTAAGAACCTCTGTAAAGAGAAGATTTATTTCATAGATGTGTCATTTTGATCACTTAATGAGCGCTAAGCCCTCAAACTTCTGAGAAACCTTTCGTCTATAAAAATGAAAGCAATAATCACACTCAGAAATGTTATTTAAAAAAAAGAAACTTTATGTGATTGACTTTAAATTTAGGTGAATTAATATAACTTAAAATTTTAAATGTTATTGGATTGGCAAAAAGTTGAAAATCAAGTTCTAGGAGTGAACAAGTATGGCTTTGTCCCATTTGTGTCTAGGGAACTCCATTTCTTAGTTAATGATTATGATACAAAGGAACTTGGAATACAGTAAATGGCCACAGACAAGATGGTTTCCAGGAATTTCTGATCTCTTTTTCTCTTATTACCTCTTAAATCTGGAAAGTGGGTCTATTTTTGTATCATTTTCAGAGGTTTCCCTTTGGTTCTGTCAAAGTTTGCTGGATCAGACTTTGGAATTGATCTAGTGTTAAGGTTTGTTCTTATTTTACATGAAAGTATATGGTGCAAGACAATGCACTGCCCTGGTTTATGTGGCTGCAGATTACACATAGAGATGGCTATTGGTGATAGCACAGATCACATAGGGAAGTATTAAAGTATTAAAAGTTGAAAGGAACCAATGGAATTATCTGGGCTAATCCTTTCATAGTACAGGTAAGGAGATCCGAAATTTAGGGAGGCTGAAAGACTTGCCCAAGGCTACACAGCTCGGAGTGGGT